AAACAATACCTGTAACGACAACATCGGGTGTAACGGCCTCAGCCAATTCATAACAATTATAACTACGGGTAGGGCCTCCCCCTCTAGGGCGCCCTCTACCTGCCTGTCCTCCACCCCTAACTAACAGTGCATGTGGGGTAGTAACTGGAATAGAGCATGTAGTCTGAGTATTCTGATGAAATCCACCTCTCCCAAGTCTGGGACAATCTCTCATGATGTGTCTGGTATCACCACACTCATAACAACCTCTCTAAGGGTCGTGATTGCTCGTACTGAGTCTGTGCCGGATAACTAGAATAACCATTGTAAGAACCTTATGTCGGTAGTGCACTAAAGATATTAACTGGAGCACTAAGAATACTCTGAATTGCAGACTAGGCTGACCGACTGCCCGAGCATCCGCCATGATGAATGCTAGATGCAAAGTAGAATCCACAAAATCCTCCATAATTTCGAGACCTCTTGGCCTCCTTAGACTCCCTTTCCTCAGACATAACACGTTCTAACATTCTGGAAATCTCTACTACTTGCTGAAATAAAGTATCAGACTGCAACTCTCGAGTCATGCATATTTTAAGATCATAATCGAGCCCCTCAATAAATCTGCGGACTTGCTCTCTGACTGTAGGAACCAAAGCAGGTGCATGACGAGCTAGCTCACTGAACCTGGTGGCATATTCTGATACCGTCATGGTGCCCTGACGCAACCGTTCAAACTCCGTGCGCCACTCATCCCGGAGAGTCTGGGGTACAAACTCTTTCAAAAGCATCTCTGAAGATTGATCCCAAGTTGGTGGTGTTGCATCGGCTGTCTACCCTCTTCATAAACTTGCCACCGTTGATACGCTGCTCCTGATAATTGAAATGTAGTAAAGACAACTCCGCTCACTTCCACAATGCCCACGGTGCAGAGAATACGATGACATTTTTCAAGAAATCTCTAGGCATCCTCGGTAGCTGTGCCACTAAAGGTATGTGGACTATACCTCTTAAATCTCTCAAGTCTCTTTTGTTCTTCTTCTGATGCCTCTAGCCTGACCTCAGGCTGAACTAGAATAACAGGTTGTACCGGTACTACACTCGGAACCTGACCAACGTGAACCTGCTGCTCTGGAGTACGGGCGGTAGGACTCTAGACTCCTCCCATAAACTGTGATATATTTGGTGAAATGGAGATCAATCATGCCTGAGTCAATGTACCAAACATATTCGGGAACTGTGCTAAAGTCTACTTAAGTTCGGGGATAACAATAGGTGCTTCCGGAACCTGTCCCCCAACTGGAGCTATTGGCGGCTCCTGAACTAATGCTCTAACATGTGCTCTAGATGTGGCGCGTGCCCTTCCTCGACCTCTACCTCGGCCCCGACCTCTTGCGGCCCTAGTAGAATGCGCTGGTGTCTGCTCAGCTGACCCGTTAGCACGTGTCCTCACGATCTTGAGAGGATAGAGATACAAAGGCTCAAACTCCAAAATCAACAAATTTTGCACGACATGGGAAATTTCCTAACAGTTATGTAGCCCCTCGAAGATAAGTACAGACATCTCCGTACCGATCCGCAATACTCTACTAGACTCGTTCGTGACTCGTATAACCTATGAACCTAGAGTTCTGATACCAACTTGTCACGACAAAAAATCTCACCACAAACGTCGTGATGGCACTTAGTCTCTAAGACTAGGTATGTCGATTACAATTACATTTCGAGCCTTGTTTTTTTAAACATATAATTTAATACAAGTGTCGGAACAAAAAGTGAAAACGAATATAAAAGAACTCCCAAGACTGGTAATACTGAGTCACGAACTCTAACTGAGTACATGCAGTGATCCCAAGGATCGAATATACAATAATGTTCGAATAAGAGTGGACAGTAAAATAAAAATGGAAAGACTCCAAGGGACTGCAACGACCAAGCAGCCCTACCTTGAATCCTTGCGATCAAACTCTAATCTATGTCAGAATCTGATATCTCCAATACCTGACTCTGCACAAAAATGTGCATAAGTGTAGTATAAGTACACCACAGTCGATACCCAGTAAATATCAAGACTAACCTCGGTGGAGTAGTGACAAAGTACAGTCAAGACACTCACAAGTCATTTAACTTGTGTAATTTAGTAATATACAAGGATAATAGAAAAACAAATAGTAGTGACAGCCACAAAGATCAATCAGGAATATGAATAACAAGGCAACAAGAACACCATAAATATTGTTCAAGAAAACAAATACAACAAATTAATCTCAAGTCCTTAAAATATACGCCTTTCACATATAAGTTTTTCAAATAAAAATCTTTCTCATATAAATTTTTCAAATAAAAATCTTTCGAGTATAATTCTTTCAAATAAAAGTCACTATGTGACACCTCATTTCATAATCATAGAACACGGATTTCAGCCCACTTTCATATTTTTACGGAACCTTGTGCCCATATCTCTATTACAACCTCACGTACCAAAATATCAATGTATATAAAATCCACAAGATTAATTTATTTTCAATAAAGTAGGGATACAATTTTTAAACCAAGTAAGAAATCAACAAAGAAATGATTTGGATGTAAAATTATTAAATTAAAACATAATAGCAATTTCTTTTATTCAAAACAACTCAACCCTCGAAACCAGTAAAAACCAGAAACACAAATCCTCATACTCTCGTACGAAGGGCCAAAACCAACACAATACAACAAGGAATACAAAACACATAATAAAATCAAATAATATATCGCGAAAAAACAAAATAACCAAAGGCAAGTGCAGCTGTCACGATGGAACCGATATAAAATGATTGCGCTCAATATTATTAATATTGACGAGGATCTTGAGCTCAAATCTGTCATGAAATTTGGACAGATAAATGATTGGCCAAATGAAAAATACCCAATGAAAATTGACTTCGCCTGAAAAATGTGAAATCGGACGGATAGTCTTAATACCTGAAAATATAAAGCCAGTGGAGGTATAAATGTGTTCTTGTGCGAAAAAAAAAAGCCAAATCGATAAACATAAAGACGACTTGTGTCACAAGAAGATTTATAAATATCCCGGTATTGATTATATAGAGACATGTTCTCCTGTTGTAGATGTAGTCATTTCAAGTTTTAATCTAGCAATACATGAAAAACTTGATATGCGTATAATGGAAATCATTGAAGGATTTAAATTATTCTGAAGCATATTAAGGTTCCCAAGAAATTTATTAAATAAAGTTTCAGCAAATTCTTATGTGAATTAGAGCGACCATGACGTATATGATTTGTTTTTGTGTCTAGTGCAATTAGTGCACTAATGTATCTTGCTAGAACTATGAGTATAACAATATACTAGAAAGATGTAATTTTATTCCTATATGAAGATATTGGAATACTATTGGGATTATATTGCAAAAGGAATCCTTGATATAGATTTGTTTATTCTAACAAATATTGCCAAAGTTTTGTTGGTTATGCAAATGCAGGCATTTTTTAAAGTTCGTTCTTCAAACAATCTATTTGTATGTGAGGGTACTGCCATATTATTATTGCACAAAGCAATCAATTGTTGATACTTATTCAAGTCATGTCAATATACTAGCAACTGATAAATCAAATCACTCAACACACAACCGGTGTATGACTTTTCTTTGAAGAGAAGACTCCAATAATAGTGAAGACTATAATGTTTGCTTATCTCAATTGAAATAAGGATATATTGAAGAAGACAAAATAAATCATATATTTCATCAAAGTTCTTTATCAGACATAATCTTCACTGAACGGTGAAATAGATGTTCAATAAATTTGTTCGTTTGATAATTTGGTGATTCTATTCAACGAAGCATGATAAACCTCAACATTTGAGAAGTTGGTATACAAGATCGAAACATATCATCTCGATAAAATAAATTGATGTTTTCATCAGGGGGAGGCAAATACGCGTTGTACTATTTTTCCCTTAGCTATGGTTTTATCCCACTGGCAAGGTTTTCAATGAGGCAGCAAGCAATGCGTATTACATTATGTGTACTATTTTTCCTTCACTAGGAGTTTTTTCCCATAAGGTTTTTTCCTAGCAAGGTTTTAATGAGGCACATTATCTATGGACATCCAAGGGGGAGTGTTACAAAATCTTGAATTTTGGTGGATGTCCATAAGCACCAAAGGAGTAATGCTCACTACTCTTCTCCATTATCTCCATAACCTCCCACATGATCTACCTCTCAAATGCTTAATGACATGTTCAATGACATATTTTACAACAGTGATTCTTCACTTTTCATGCCAATATAAAGACATTGTAATAGATAAGAAAAGACACACAATTGAAGAAGAAATAAGAATCTCTCCTCTCTTTCTCTCTATATCTCTTAGCTTCTTTTTCCTTGTTATATATTGTTACTTTAAGCTATATTTCATAACAGTTACATCAATAAACTATCATATACTTAAGTTATGCCATATACTATGCAATTCTGTGCCATGGTAAAGCTCAATCTGACAAATTCTCAACTATCTGTTTTCTGCGCAAGGCAAAAAGAATTGCCTTAGACCTAAAATCGTATTCTATCTCTATAGCAGCATCCCTATATAACAGTCATTTATTATAAAAGCCAAGTTTTCTCGAAATTGATTTTTTATGTTGGGTTATAATATATGTCCTCTATAACAGCATTTCACTATAACATCCAAAAGATATCGGAACAAACGTAATTGTTATAGAGAGATTTGACTGTATTCAAACACATACTTATAATGTGAATGACATTGCACAAATAGTTTTTATCTCGTCAAGGCCAAAAAAAAAATTCTGCATATCAAAGGCAGCTTGATTCATGTACCTTGCCTAATTAACCTTTTCAAAGAAAATGATTTTACTTCAAAAACAGTACAGTACTTTCTATTTTTCCCATTTCCACCTTAAGTTGGGTTATGGAGAATCTAAACCTTATTTTTGTCACCATTACAACCTAATATTTCAACGATCTTTTGATGAGTTAACGGAGCTGAAAAGATGCTTAAGAGTTTAAATTACGCAGCTACTCTTTCCCTCAAAAGTGTGATGACAAACACTTTCAAACTAGAAACTTGTACAGCAAAAGTGAACCAAAGACATAAATTTCACTTGATCACAGCCAAAAAGACCGAGTTAGAGAGATATAACAGCAACATATAAACTGCTCCAAAGTGGCCTAGAAAAGAGACATATCTGGCGGAGGACCATAGACACTCTTCCACGAGAACGGCACAACCCAGCTTCCACCTTCATTACCTGAACGACCCCAGTAAAAGAGGTCAGTTAGTGCCTCAGAAAATTATGTTACAAGATAGTCACATCTATGCGTCCTATGGCAATTTTAAACGTACTAGAAAGGTAATATCCCTACGTTACCCTAGTCCATATCTATGCATTTTGCGATAATTTTAAACATATTCAAAAGGCATGAAATCCAATACCTCCCCCTCCAAAACAGTCAAAAAAACAATTGAAGACGATCTAATTATCTTCATTAGCTCAATCACTTCTCATGTAAATTTATCAATCAGACAGCACCAAGTATTATTAGCCACTAGCTTACAAGGATAAGAGTTACTTGACCATATTTAGGTACTTAAAGCGCTATAGCAGTATTAGTTTTCTTACCAGGCATTGTATGATTGTACAGAGATCAAGAAATGAAGGAAAGAAAACTGATTGATCATACCAGGAAACAATAACTCACCTTGAGAACTATTAGGTCGGAGCCCCAGAGCTTTTGACACTGCATCAGCCAAATTGAAAGCATCGGGAATGTTGTCTCCCTCCGAGCAATAACACAGTAGACAAGTGACCTTCAGACCTTTGGCCTAGACCAATAAACAATAAGATTATTACACAAACTCAATCAGGGTAGAAAAGTATACTTAACATAAAAATGTGGATAAATATGTAAGTTCATATCAAGAATAGTCTTGAGATACTGATAGCAGAAATTACAAAGGAAACCAAATAGTAGTTTTTCATTGATCTCATTTCATCTTAAGCATATCTCCAAAAGAAGCTGTGCTAACTTTAGAAATAATTTTACGAGAAATTACAATCTGAAAACCGCACCATACTCAGATGACACATCAAAACAATGCAAAAGGAAATATCAACTATAACTTCATCACAGAATAAAAACCTTTTTTGAGATGCGAGAACAAATAATTACTTTAAGTATGCTATAATACATGTCAGATCTGTAGCATTGAACAATCTGGGAAGGAACACAATCCCAAAACAAAATCAAAAGCCTAACTACTTAGAAATCTCAAGCTCATGTGGAATGTATTATGGTGCAACAAAAAGACAGCAGGATTTAGCAACATAAGCAAAGACAATTTGAAAGAAACTACAAAGTAAAGAAATCAGATTCTATAAATACGAAAGCCACATATGACAAATACAATTAATTTTTCATGAAATGTACTAGTACATCAAGTTATCCATAGTGAACAACTGAAACAAGCATATCACAACCTTAAGACAAGAGAACAACGCAGCATAAGGCAAACTGGCATCGTAGTCCTCATCTCCCAGCTCTTCATAAGGCAAATCCTCCACCTCAAAGGCAGTATTTTTGGCTAAATCATTTAAATACTTCCACATTCTCTGCGTAGGATCATACTCTGGTAATCTCTTCCAGCCCTGGCTTTCACATTGATCGTCTGTTCCATCTGAGTTGGAACTAGAAAGGTAATGTATCTGCAATCCACTGGTACACGATAGCCATAAAATCAATGTCACCATGGAATCAGATAAAATGTTCAAAGAAAAGAACTCAACGCAAGTCAATAGAATAAGCAACAGTAAACTTAATAGCTTAAAAAGGCAACAGTTTGGAAATATTCACCTTCACTAATCGACTCAAAATTAGAGGAACCGTTCACGTACACATAATCTCCAGCAACATTTCCAACAAAGAAGCATCTTATTTAGCAACCTTTACTTATTAAATCCCTTCTTTTTTTGATAACCGAGAAATCCACGAGGGCCAGTGGCGCACGTTCGAAACTCGGTGGATAATGGGCCTGCCCCTCTATCTTTCTCCACTTAAACACCAGCCTTTTGTCTACAGCAGGGTTCAAACCCGTGCCGTGAGCCTAACCAACACATATTAAGTCCCCTTCATTTAGGTATTCGGATGCAAAAAGCTAAACTCCCATAATAACAGGAACAGTCAGCAATTCACGAGATAATGATCTCAGAAAAAGTAACTAAAGTTTCCATGTAAAGTGATTTCTCAACGGAGGGAGGACATGATGAAGTAGAAAGTGGAATCACAGAGTTTCAATCATTGAACCACATAAAGAAAACAGAAAAAATATGTTTAACTGAAGCTCATATATTGATACCTTGACATATCAATGTTTCGCCAACGCCCAAACTCCAAGCCTGAGAGCACGATTACATGTTTCTTCCCATTGGCAGCAGCAAAATTCGCCAAGTTCCTAGCAAATTCAACCATCATGCCCTGTTGGGTAAGCTGTTAGAACTAAACAACCACATAAAAGACAAAACCTTAATTGCATACATTGCAATAAAAAGTTGGATTTAAGCTATACAGACAGTCCATGTAAACAATTTTCACATTATCACATTGTCTACTTACCATTTTTCCCAGTTAATTAATTCACACTTACTATTACATACCAATAGTTGCTTTAAATACCCGATGGTATAAAAAGATGTTAAATGCTCTTGCATTATATTCCCTCCTAGGTGGCTTGCACGAGAGAAAAAGACCAGATCAAGCAGCAATGATACCCGTTGCCAAAAAAAGTACTAACATTTACCTTAACAACTGGAGACCTCTGCTGTACCAGAGCCAATGCATCAGGAGATGATTCATATACTGCCATGAACCAAAATCAGAAACGTCATTTCCTTCCTAAAATCTCAAAAAGTATACTTCTTCCTTTTCAATTTAACTGATACTCTTTCCATTTTGTAACGTTCCAAAACAGTTGCCATCATTCCAATAACAATACTATTCTATACAGATAATCAAAAATACAAAGAACTATTCAAAGTTAAATTTATATGAACATCTATAAAAACAAACTTTTAATAACAACTACTTTAATATTTTTTCATTTGTCCTCAATATAATAATGCACAAGTCAATCCCACTGGGTGCAAACAATTTCTGAGGGCCATCGGACTGGGTAAAACCTGAATTAACCGTGGTGCACTTGCGGGAAACTCCTTGCCTAGGGCCTGTGCACCCCGGGATTAGTCGGGGCTCAAAGAGACTCGGACACCCGGTGCAAAATCAAAAAATAATGCACAAGTCAAATTAAGTAATAAGTTGTAATTGATACCTTCGAGAGGAAGCGCGAGTTCACCGGGCGGAGAAGGCCAATAGGCGTCATTCCCAACGCAGGGAACTACATTTGGATCGTCCAAATATCCAATTCTCTCCGCTCTCAAAGAAGCTACTAGAAGATCCACCGCTAGTTGCCCTGCATTTCCTACCGATAGCGCCGGCTACAGTATAAACAAATAACAATATTACAGAACCGGAAAAAAAAGAGTGGAAGAATCACTAAAGAAGTTGAGAGCAAAACCCTAGAAGCATACCAGAATCAACGTGGAGTTATCTGAGCTCAAATTCTTTCCTTCCTCAGCATAAAACTCCATTAATTGTAAATTTCAAGCTACTTTCCAGTACTAGCGTAGTGATTCGGACTTGTGGCGCAAGAATGCAAGGTTTTTCTTTTGAATCTTCTTCCTCTTTTCTTCTTTTGTGCGGGTTTGGAGTTGGGCTGGGCCGTTTTAGGCCCACATAAGTTAAGGCCAGTTTATTACGGGCCAGTCCACAACGTTGAAGAGTGGGGAAGTTATGGGTCTGCTCTTGATCCTATAAAACATCAGCCCGTCCCTGGCGGGATTTGACCAAAGTGTCATTGTTCCAAAACCAGTCACCCATCTTTACACAAACAGCTCATCCAATTCATTGTTTACTTTTTATAATCGATAAATATAAATTATATATTAATTATATACAGTTAAACATATATATTATATTTGAAATTTATAAATATTATACAACAGCAGACTGTTTTTAATTTGTTAAAGCAGTTGGATGGATGGGTATTTTATGTTTAGGTTAATTCCTATCCAAAAAATAAGGGATTTCACGCAACACACCAACCCAACAAAGCCCATAGAGATAACACTAACTTTATTTTTTACAAATATTAGTTGATATAATCACTGTATAATTTGTGCTTAATCAGTATATACAATCAAACAATAATTATCTATAGTCTAAACTAGTTGGGATCGGTAGTATATCTTCTTTTGAATTCATTTTCAATACTCTGTAAGTTTGACTTTAAAGATAAATTTACAGTAGAAATTAAACACAATTACCTCTGAGAGTGATTAACTTTGAAGCCACCTCAATAGCTGATTTGATAGGTGCAGGTGTGTTCAGCATCATCAAGATAAATGACAGATCAAACTCAATATGAGCATTATCGATATGGAATACAATAATGTATGCTTGGATTAATTTCATTCACAAATTCAATTTGGAGCCACATCTTGAATACACAAATAACTACAATTTGAACATTCCCCACAATTTTAATCAACCTTGGTATGTCTGATTCAAGCTCAACTGAGGCCCCAACAAGGACCATTTTGCTTGGTTTTAAGCTTCTTGATTAGACATTCATCCTACTAGATTATGCCATATCGATTTCTTTTCATGTCTCAGGATATATTTTAACTGTGGGATGGTTAAAATTGAGAATAATTAGGTTTTCCCTTCTTTTAATTTTGTGCCATTTGCAGCAAGATTTTGGATCATACTCCCTCCGTTCACCTTTTGTTGTCATATATTCTAAAAATAAATTTATTCATTTTTACTTGTCACTTTTCGTATATTAAGAGAAAAATAATTTATTTTTCTTGTTTTGTCCTTAGCATTAATTACTTATTCCAAATTCATTAAGGCTATACACCAAATAATATGGGTATCATGATAAATTATGCACTTTATTTATTTTTTCTTAAGGAGTGTGCAAAGTCAATAGTGGACAAGTAAAAGTGAACGGATAGAGTACATTTTATCAGTAGTTTTTCAGCATTCGCTGGTTGAGTGGATAGGTAAGAAGTTTAAGAAAGAAAAATATGTTTTTTTGCTATATTCTGAAAGTATTATTTAGAACTTGTAATCTTAAATTTGTACATTTATATGATTACTAGTCTTAGGGTACGCGCTTTGCGCGTGTATCTATATCAATAAATATATAATTTTTACAAATCATGTAAATATTATTAAATAATGTGTTTGAGTTACTGAATAAATATTAAAAATTATGAGTTCTTAAAAATAATAAATGTGTATCTCACTTAGCTAGTTTTGTCAATAATTTTATTGAGCTACGAGTTTAAACATAAACTAACTAAACTAAAGAAATTCAACCTATACCCTAAAAGTTCGATTCACAAGAACAAATTAATTTATTCTATAATTATAAATTAATTATATCTTTTTTAGTTAATTCAAGATAATTATTTTTTCCTAATTACACCAATTTATATCCTAAAAGTTCAATTCATATCCAAAAGGTCCAATTCATATCTTAAAAGTTCAATTCATATCCTAAAAGTTCAATTCACAAGAACAAATCCTAAAAACTAAAATTTCAATTCATATCCTACGAGTTTAAACATAAACGAACTAAACTAAAGAAATTCAACCAATACCCTAAAAGTTCGATTCACAAGAACAAATTAATTTATTCTACAATTATAAATTAATTATATCTTTTTTAGTTAATTCAAGATAATAATTTTTTCCTAATTACATCAATTTATATCCTAAAAGTTCAATTCATATCCAAAAGGTCCAATTCATATCTTAAAAGTTCAATTCATATCCTAAAAGTTCAATTCACAAGAGCAAATGTGTATCTCACTTAGCTAGTTCTGTCAATATTTTTATTGAGCTAGCTTAGTGAGATTAAAATTCATTATTTTTAGGAACTTATATATATTTTAGTATTTATTCAATAACTCAAACACATTATTTAATAATATTTACATAATTTTTAAAAATTATATTTATTGATATAGATACACGCGATTATTTTCGAACTATTTTCCTACTCTAACAATATATTATTCTCTTTATCAATTTGTGTAATATTTAAAAACTACCTTTTGTAATTAAAATAAATATTTAGTTTGGTACCAAATCTGTTACTTTTAGTAGTATATCTCGTTAGAATTATAAGTTCCCCAATTAAGAAGAATGAATGTGAAACATATTTCCATTGAAATTGCCGTCGGATATACAAGGAAAATCAAACGTAATATCACTCCTATTTCCCCAAATAATATTTACTTTAAGGTCCTTAATAAAGAGCTTCTTACATAATTCAAATAGTGATAGAATTTAATAATTAAAAAATTTATTCATTTGAAAGTCTTAAATATTAGGATAATAACTAAATTATAATTTTATCTAATGTAAAGTTTATTTTTAAAGGGTAAAAAAGGCGAACGACATTTCACTAAAGGTTTTCGTGCTTTTAATATAATATAGATAAGAGAATTTATAGAATTGAAAATTTAAAGATAAACATTTTTATATATAGAAAGATGCCATTTTGTTAATGCAATAAATAGAGTATATTTTCACTTGTGCATATCTCTCTCATATTCGTTCTTGCTTTTCGTAAGGGATGATTTTGGATAATAGTGTAAAGCCTTTGATTTTACGAGGATCCCATTCTATTACCAGAAAAGAGTTGACACCTAGCAAGAGGAAGAAGTATAAATAGAGTATATTTTCACTAGTGCATATCTCTCTCATATTCGTTCTTGCTTTTCGTAAGGGATGATTTTGGATAATAGTGTAAAGCCTTTGATTTTACGAGGATCCAATTCTATTACCAGAAAAGAGTTGACACCTAGCAAGAGGAAGAAGTATAAATAGAGTATATTTTCACTAGTGCATATCTCTCTCATATTCGTTCTTGCTTTTCGTAAGGGATGATTTTGGATAATAGTGTAAAGCCTTTGATTTTACGAGGATCCAATTCTATTACCAGAAAAGAGTTGACACCTAGCAAGAGGAAGAAGTTCAAATATCTTCACTTTAGCGTATGAAAATTGTGGTATATACCATGTCTACGAATCCACTGTTGGAACTTCTACTTGTATAGGCAAAAAATCAGCCCTTCAAATATTTAGCATAAAATGGCATTAATGAATATCATCGGTCGAGCTCGTCTAAGCCATAGCGAGATTAATGGTCGCGGTGTCGATATAAGCCGTGGTCGAGATATCAATAGATATCGCAGTCAAAATATCAACAAGGGTCTAGGTCGAGATCGATTATTAGTGATAAGATTTGTAACGACAAATTTGTCAGAATAGAGTATTAAAAAGGGAAGTATTCTAGTGAATATTCCTGTTGTTTGTACTATTAGGGTTTTCTAAGAAAATAGGCCCAAATATATAGGAAGAAAAGACAATGATAAGGGCATGTAATATTTTTCTCATAAGAACACTTTTGAGAAGAAGACTCCCTTTCGGATAAAAACACAAAGGCTACATTTTTATAAAGATTCTCGTTCATATTATTCCCCACTTTTTCACCAAATCCAAGGATTATTCATGCAAATCTTGGATCTATCTGTCATTCACCGTTGTCAGGCAGAATATTCTCATTGTCCATTCAATATCGGGTGAATCATTCTTTTTATTTACATAAATATCATTTATTGACATTTATTGCTAGATATATCTCATTTAATGTTCTTATTGCAAGAGTATTTCATATTTATTGTTATCAATCATATGCGAACTTAGTCCCATCTATCGTCCATCCTTATGCTTAATATCTAGAGTCATTATCCTTAACTAGATTTGACCCTTCATTATATAAATATAATAGTTTAACCGGAGATTATATTTCTTGGTCAAATAATTTGACGCCGTCTGTGGGAATTTTCTAGCTAAACTTTTTAGTTTCTTCTAGATCTACAACCGGCACTGATTGCTAACGTAAAAAAAAAATCTTTTTCTGTAATGACCCAAAATGTCATCTTTAAATTTAATAAGTAATTCTATGTTCTAAGACCTTGAAAAATACCATTTATTCTTCCTCGACTTACGTGCACAATCCGTAAAATTTTCTGGAAAGTTTTTATGTGAAATATGAATTAAAATGTGAAATAGAGCTTTAAAATTCAAGTGAGTTGACTTTGGTCAACATTTTTAGCAAACGGACCCGGATTAGTGTTTTGACAGTTCCGGTAGCTCCGTATCATGATTTGGGACTTGAGCGTATGCCGTAATTTAATTTGGAGGTTCCTAGCTTAAGTTATGACCATTTAACGGAACTAGCAATTTAAAGGCTAAAGATTTCCAAGTTTGACCACGGGGTTGACTTTTTGATATCGGAGTCGGAATCCGACTCGGAAAATTGAAATAGCTACGTTATGTCATTTATGACTTGTGTGCCAAATTTAAAGTCATTCCGGATTCATTTAACATGTTTCGGCACAAGATTTGTAAATTGAAAAGTTTGGAAACTCAAAAGATCGAATCGAGGTGTGAATTATAATTTTAGCGTCGTTTGACGTGATATAAGACCCCGAGTAAGTCCGTATAATATTTTAGGACTTGTTGGTATATTTGGTTGAGATCCCGAGGGCCTCGGGTGGACAACGGAATTTAATTTTGGCATTTCAAGAACGTTC